AAAAAAAAAAAATAAAAATCTGTATTACGCCATTCCCCGCACCCCCCCCTAAACCCCCCCCCCCCCCCCAAGCCTCCTCAAATATTTTTAGTGAACATTTTGATGTTAGATTTTGATAAATTTCGCCAATTCATTAAAAAAAAAAAATTGATATTGTGGATATAACTTTGTCTAGTGAAGCAGGTTCATCCATCAACATGTTGACACTCTTCCATCAACATGTTGGCACTGATCCATCAACACGTTGGCACTCATCCACCAGCATGTTAGCACTGATCCATCAACATGTTGGCACTCATCCGTCAACAATTTGGCACTCATCCATCAACGTGTTTTTACTCATCCATCAACATGTTGCAACTAATCGAATAACATATTGGGACTCATCCATCATCACGTTGGCACTCATCCATCAACATGTTGGCACTCATCCATCAACATGTTGACACTCATCCATCAACATGTTGGCACTCATCCATCAACATGTTGACACTCATCCATCAAAATGCGCGCTTTTTTTGTCAATAACATGCGGCTCTGAAAATATTTTCTTAGCAGAGACAGGTGTTTTCTTTCTTTTAAGCAACTTTAAAACAAAAAAAGACTCTATCAACGAAGACGAATAAAGACGCATTAAAAAGTAAAGATAATTAAATATTTATTAAAATGCACGGTCCCTAACATGGCTGTATGATTGTCTGATCATGGTCAGTAACGTGGCTGCATGATTGTCTGATCATGGTCCATAACATCGCTGTATGATTGTCTGATCATGGTCACTAACGTGGCTGTATGATTGTCTGATCATGGTCACTAACGTGGCTGTATGATTGTCTGATCATGGTCCATAACATCGCTGTATGATTGTCTGAGCATGGTCCTTAACATGGCTGTATGATTGTCTGAGCATGGTCCCTAATATGGTTGTATGATTGTCTGATCATGGTTCCTAACATGGCTGTATGATTGTTTTCTCTGCTCGTTGGTCCAAAATATGGCTGTACAGTCTGTGCATGGTCCCTAACATGGTTGTATGATTGTTTTGTCTGATCAGGGTCCCTAACATGGCTGTATGATTGTCTGATCATGGTCCCTAACATGGCTTTTTATTGTTTTGTCTGATCATGGTCCGAAAATTGGCTGTATGATTTTTTTGTCAGAGCATATGGCCTAATATGGCTGTATGATAGTTCTGTCTGATCATGGTCACCCAATATGACTGTATGATTGTCTGATCATGGTAACCTAATATGGTTGAATGATTGTTTTGTCTGATCATTATCCTTACTATTGCTGTGTGATAATTGTTTTCTGATCATTATCCCTACTATGGCTGTCTGATTGTTTTGTCTGATCATGTTCAATAGCATGGCTGTATGATTGCTTTGTCAGATCATGGGCGCTAATATGGTTGCATTATTATTTTGTCTTATCATGGTCCGAATATGGATGTATGATTGGGTTTTTTTATTTTTTATTTTACCACATATGCCACGAATGGGCCCGTCACATTCATCCCGGGTGGGTGTACCACTAAGATTCACTACTCGCCACACTACACCCAGGTGCCCTGACGAATGTACCACTAAGATTCACTACTCGCCACACTGCACCCAGGTGCCCTGACGAATGTACCACTAAGATTCACTACTCGCCACACTACACCCAGGTGCCCTGACGAATGTACCACTAAGATGCACTACTCGCCACACTGCAACCAGGTGCGCTGACGAATGTACCACTAAGATTCACTACTCGCCACACTACACCCAGGTGCCCTGACGAATGTACCACTAAGATGCACTACTCGCCACACTGCACCCAGGTGCCCTGACGAATGTACCACTAAGATGCACTACTCGCCACACTACACCCAGGTGCCCTGACGAATGTACCACTAAGATGCACTACTCGCCACACTGCACCCAGGCGCGCTGACGAATGTACCACTAAGATGCACTACTCGCCACACTACACCCAGGTGCCCTGACGAATGTACCACTAAGATGCACTACTCGCCACACTACACCCAGGTGCCCTGACGTATGTACCACTAAGATGCACTACTCGCCACACTACAGCCAGGTGCCCTGACGAATGCACCACTAAGATGCACTACTCGCCACACTACACCCAGGTGCCCTGACGAATGTACCACTAAGATGCACTACTCGCCACACTACACCCAGGTGCCCTGACGAATGTACCACTAAGATGCACTACTCGCCACACTGCACCCAGGTGCCCTCACGAATGTACCACTAAGGGGCACTACCCAGATGCCCTGACGAAAGTACAACTAAGCTGCACTACCAAGGTGCCCTGACGAATGTACCACTAAGGTGCACTATTTCCCAGGTCCCCTGACGAATGTAATACTAAGATGCACAGCCCCAGGTGCCCTGACGAATGTACCACAAAGATGCACTACTATCACTACGGCACCCAGGTGCCCAGACGAATGTACCATTAAGTTGCACTACCCAGGTGCCATGATAAATTTATCACTAAGATGTACTATCCAGGTGCCCTGACAAATGTACCAGTAAGATGCACTACACAGATGCCCTGACGATTGTACGAGTAAGATGCACTACCCTGATGTCCTAACGAATGTACCATTAAGATGCACTACCCAGGTGCCTTGACCAATTTACCAGAAAGATGCACTACATAGGTGCCCTGAAGATTGTACCAGTAAGATGCACTACCCAGGTGCCCTGACGATTGTACCAGTAAGATGCACAACCCCGATGCCCTGACTGTACCAATAAGATGCACTACCCAGATGCCCTGACTGTACCAGTAAGATGCACTACCCAGGTGCCCTGACTGTACCAGTAAGATGCACTACCCATGTGCCCTGACTGTACCAGTAAGATGCATTACCCAGGTGTCCTGACTGTACCAATAAGATGCACTACACAGGTGTCCTGACTGTACCAGTAAGATGCACTATCCATGTGCCCTGACTGTACCAGTAAGATGCACTACACAGGTGCCCTGACTGTATCAGTAAGATGCACTACACAGGCGCCACTACGATTGCACCAGTAAGATGCACTAGCCAGGTGCCCTGAGTGTACCAGTAAGATGCACTACCCAGGTGCCCTGACGATTGTACCAGTAAGATGCACTACACAGGTGCCCTGACTGTACCAGTAAGATGCACTACACAGGTGTCCTGACTGTACCAGTAAGCTGCACAACCCACGTGCCCTGACTGTACCAATAAGATGCACTACACAGGTGCCCTGTCTGTACCAGTAAGATGCACTACCCAGGTGTCCTGACTGTACCAGTAAGATGCAGTACACAGGTTCCCTGACTGTACCAGTAAGATGCACTACACAGGTTCCCTGACTGTACCAGTAAGATGCACTACCCAGGTGCCCTGACTGTACCAGTAAGATGCACTACCCAGGTGCCCTGACTGTACCAGTAAGATGCACTACCCAGGCGCCCTGATTGTACCAGTAAGATGCACTACCCATGTGCGTGACGAATGTACCACTAAGATGCACTACCCAGATTCCCGCGTGTCCACATTAAAGTTTTCATTACCAAAATAACTATTGTTCCACAGTGGCGTAGCTAGAGTTAGGGTCGACCGGGGGTGGGCCAAGAATTTTGCCAAACCCGTTCCCTACCACGTAAAAAAAAATCGGCAGTTTTCAGAGGCGTAGCGTGGTGGGGCAAGGGGAGCAGATGTCCCCGGGCGTCAGCTTGTTAGGGGCGCCAAAATGTGCTTTGATATTATTTTATTGATGAAAATAATGGGTTTGAGAGTTGAAAAAAAGAAAAAGGGGCGCTTTAAAATGGATCTTGTCCCCGAGCGCGAATCTTGTCCCCGGGTGCCAAACACCCTCGTTACGCCACTGGCAGTTTTCCCTCAAATGCTACTCCTTAATTATATAGAAAGTTGCCACCTGGTGCTAACCGCCCCTCTTCCTACGCCCATGTCATGACATCTCCTCTGACGCTTGTCATCTAAAATTACACGTTGTCATCAAGACCAATTTATCACGCTTGCTGAATAAATTAAAGGATTTTCTCATTGCTCGAAGTTGTGATCGCCGACCGATTGTACGGTTCACGTACAGATTAACACATTTTAGCTTCCCTAAATCTGATATCAGAGATAATCTGACATGTGAATTCAACATGTTTCTCATTTTTATCATACATATCTATTTATCATTACTAGAAGAGTGTGGCCTTTTTTTGTGTGTAAATGTTCGAAGTGGGCGGAGCTTAATGATAGGAAATAAAATAAAAGCGAGACCTCCTGAATTTCACCGAGATAGAGCCATTGTTTTGTCGTCAGTCCATTGCTACTGTCGGTAACTTGTGTTAGTCAAGCGGGTAAGTCACAGATCTGGGATTTGTAGAGAAAATCTGCCAAGTTAAATCACGATAACGCTAAGATTTGAGCTTTAATTTAAAAAATAAAAAAAACTGTCAAAATAATATGTAACAAAGTAGTCATTTGAAAAATACATTCTATATCTATTTACAGGAAGTTTATGAATGAAAAAGCAAAACGAGGTATGTGGAAGCTTGAATAAGATAACAGGACAAAAAACAAGGACGTTTCGGCATAAAGCCTTCCTCAGCCAACAGTAGAAATGAAAATATAACAAAAAAACAGAGCACAGTAGACAACTCAAGAAGTATCCTTTGGTGTCGCCGGAACCACTTCCACATTCAAGCTTCCACATACCTCGTTTCGCTTTTTCATTCATTTACTAAGCTTCAAAGTAGTCCTTTCATTTATATTTACAGGAAGTTTGCAGAAGATTGGAGCAAAAATGCTGAGTTCTCTTTTCGTCGTTGTCATTGCCCTTGGGGCCGTGGCGGCTCAGACTTACCAGGCGCCCACCTACCCCAACCCAGGCAACCAGGCTAAGCCCCAGGCTAGCAACCCTCCAGCCAGCAACCCACCAGCCAACAACCCACCAGCCAACAACCCACCAGCCTCTAATGCCCCAACTTATAAGCCATCAGCCGCCAACACCCCCGTCTACAACGCCCCCGGCTACAACGCCCCCGGCTACAACGCCCCCGGCTACAACGCCCCCGGCTACAACGCCCCCGGCTACAACGCCCCCGGCTACAACGCCCCCGGCTACAACTCAACCCCCCAGCCAACAACCCACCAGCCAACAACGCACCCGCCAACAACCCACCCGCCTACAACGCCCCCGCCTACAACGCCCCCGCCTACAACGCCCCCGGCTACAACGCCCCCGGCTACAACGCCCCTGGCTACACCGCCCCAGCAAGCTATCCAAAGCCTTCTTACAACAACGGACAAGTTTATGCAGGCAGAAATGTGAACGCTGAGGTCGAAGAAGCTAGGAGACGTATTGGCGGTGAGTACTCTATTGCGTTCACTGATTGGTTGACCTATGACCTTTGAACTACGCCACGGCGTCTCATTGAACACACTATAAATCAATTATATTTAAAGTGTGTTGAATATAAAGCTGTCGTCAGATAGGGACAGTTCGCTGAAATTGGCAACGTGCTCCGCTACAGCAGCGCCAACGTTATTGTCAGTACATTGGTAAGCACTTAGTCAAATGTTAAATCACACTTTCAAAATATGAAGCTGTATTCCTCTTGAAGTCACGAACTGAAGAAGGAAAAAAAAAACATTGGTCAATAGTGTTCGTCTTTTCTTTTCGGTGCTGTTACTTTCGGCGCCTGGTGTATTCCCTTTAGTTCACAGAAACGTCATTTGGGTAGGGTTGAGGTTGGGCATTTGCCCCCTCCTCAATTTACAGATTTTATGTAAATTGCTATGTACAGTGGCGCCTCCAGTAACAAACAACTTAACAAGCCAACCAAGTTTTGGTTCCCCCCCTCCCCCGGCTGAAAAATCCTGAAATGACGCCCCTGACGGTTATCCATCATGGCGTCAGAAGTTTCCCCATCATAATATGATGGCATTCCCCATCATAACGTTTCATCATTCGCCAGCCGAAAAATATTTTTAAAAATCAACTAAAAAGACTCCCCAGGATAACCTTACCACAGCAGTTCACCATTATCCTAAACATACGGTGAAACACCTTTTTGAATTGTATCAAACACCCACACTTTAATATACTTGATAACATTTCAAACACCACCCCCCCCCCCCCCCCCCCCCCCCACCCACCCCCACCCACTATTTCAGATCTCGAGCAGTATGTAATCACATTATCGGGCGTGGCTGATGACGTCACCAGCAAAGTCAAGCTAGTTACCGCCTTCGCAGCCGAGTTCCAGAACAAAATCTACCCCACCATTCAAGACTACTCCAAGGCGCAAGACAAAAAGATCGCCAGCTTTCGTGCCCAGGTGAGACTACAGTAAAGCTTTTCTGTTTTAACATTTGATGAGAAGATTTTTTTGATTTTTTGGAGGTAGGGGGTGGTTGGGGGTAATGAACGACAAACAGTGTTCAAAGATATGCTCATGTTTATGTTGGAACACATACATAATTTTACATCCACGGTCTCCAAGAGACACAACGGTGTATTTTCGCTGGAGTGAACCAGGCGAAACCATGAAGCCAGTATGCGAATGTCTTTTATGGAGAATCAAACTGAGAGACGACACCAAGTCGGCATATCTCAAATGTCTCCCAAGAGAACGCGTTATAGTTGATACAGCTTGGCCAGAGGGGGCGAATCAAGAGTTGCCGGGGCGCCTATTATGGATTTTTGTGTCGGGTCTACTCCAATAGTCTTAACCAGGGGGTGTATGCCGGTGCAGGGGCGGCAAAGGTTGCTAGTTTGAGGTTTCCTGCTAGTAAATGAGCCCCCATCCGCGGTAGACGAATCCTACATGTTTAATGTATGATAGATGTGAGGGCTATCTGTTAAACTTCAGAAGGGCATTTTAACCTACAACGATCTTCTTCGACGTGTTCATATATGTCGAGACTTACACCCCTGTATAACTTAAATCTACACACCTTAACCTGACAAAACTGTTTATAATTCTATATTATATGATTTAACACGTCCATGTCAAAACATACAACTCTATATAACTTTATATGCTATGATTCAATGTGTCCAGATTGAAGAGCTCAGAACACTCCAAGATGACGTCGCAGAACTCTCCAGTAAAGTTGATGACATCGCCAAGACCTTGGCCGCCAACAGAGAGCGCAGAAGCGTCATTGCTGGAGAAATCAGTCGCCTTGATGACACGGATGTGGCCCAGAACCTTGCAATCGGCAAACTAGAGACACTGGTGGGGCTTTAGTCAGATAGAGACACTGGTGGGGCTTTAGTCAGATAGAGACACTGGTGGGGCTTTAGTCAGATAGAGACACTGGTGGGGGCTTTAGTCAGATAGAGACACTGGTGGGGGCTTTAGTCAGATAGAGACACTGGTGGGGTTTTAGTCAGATAGAGACACTGGTGGGGCTTTAATCAGATAGAGACACTGGTGGGGCTTTAGTCAGATAGAGACACTGGTGGGGCTTTAGTCAGATAGAGACACTGGTGGGGCTTTAGTTAGATGAGACACTGGTGGGGCTTTCGTTGCCTTTGGTCAGATAGAGCCACTGGTGGGGCTTTAATTCACTTTGGTCAGATAGAGATACTAGTGGGGCTTTAGTTGACTTTGGTCAGATAGTGCCACTGGTAGGACTTTAGTATATAATATTTTTAAAAGATAATAATATATATAGATGAAATAAGACCTAAAAAATATTTGTTTCCTTTTACTAAAGGTCAAATCTGAAGGCGACCGCCTGGCTGAGGCTGCTAATAAGGTGAACAATAATAAGGCCAAGGCCAGCGACATCTCTGACAATTTGGACAAAGCTGTCAAGGTCTTCAACTATGAGCAAGGTCAACCATTATTCCAATGTTTCACTCCTGTCTTTCTTCCTCCTCTTCCACCACCACCACACCTTCACCCCCCCCCCCAAAAAAAAATATTTTAAAAAAAAATAATAATAATAATTTTAGAACCCCCACATTCATTATCTTTCATATTTGGACATTTATTTTTATTAGCATTGTTGAAATAAGTTCTCGGGGTGATTTTTAAAATGATTTCATTGCCTCAGTAATCTTGGACAGTCGGGTACAATCAATGAATTCATTTCTCAACTGTTTCCCTCTCGACTCACTGCAGATCACACAGTCCGTTCGTTAGTAAAACATCTGTTTAGTTCTCTTATTGGAACGCGGCATTTTTTTATGTCTAGGTACCAGCTTCACTGTGACAGTCTCGTCTGCCAAACCAAGCGTCGTCTACACCTTCACATCAGCTTTCCCCGCTGTTCCCGATGTCCAATGGGGTATCATTGGAGCAACCATTGAGGACCTTCCAAGCGGCAATGATTACAAGGCAGACAAATCCTACGGCTCACAGGGCAATTACAAGTCGGACAACTCCTACGGCTCACAGGGCAACTACAATGATGAATCTATCAATGGGCGAGTCAATGTAAGTCCTGGAAACACTGCATGCGATTTATATTGCTAAAGTAAAGACACAAAGTGTAAGGCAATATCAGGTGTAGTCCCCAATGTGTAAAGCAATATGAGGCGTACTCACCCATCGTAAGGTAATATCAGGTGTAATCAACGATCGTAAGGTAATATCCGGTGTAATCATCTAATGTAAGGTAATATCAGGTGTAATCAACCATCGTAAGGTAATTTCAAGTGCCATCAACCATCGTAAGATATTATGTTAAATCTAAGTTATGTTTCTTATTTTTAAATTTGATTTGTTTTCCCAATTATTTTTTTTTAAGTTTTCAATTTTAAAAAAATGTTATTTACCTTCAAAGACAAAAGATCGCTTTTAAATAATGTGCTATTGTGATAAGATTCGAACAATTGTAGAACTATTCAAGACTGGCTTCCCTTTCGTGTTGCTTAGGTTACCGCCAGCGCTACAGGCGCCACCGTCAGCTTGGTGGACAACAGTGACGGCTTCCAGATCTCAAGCTTCAGAGTAAGAGTAACCGCGACCCTCATCGACAGTGGTTACCTCGAGTACACCAGCAAAGCCACCACCTACTACTAGGATATGTTGCGACGATGGTGACATCTTGTGGATCGTATCTTAGGAAAACTAGCGATGTTTGGTTTTAAAAAAAAAATTAAATAATTGAATAAAATTGTAGTAAAGTGAATAATGTTTTGTTCAATTTTAAACCTTTATTTGTTTCCTCTCGTAGTAAATAAATCAGCTGCCAGTTAATAGATCAATTGCTAGTTACTAATCGGTTGCTTTACTTTAATCCGTTGGCTTAGTGCCTTCAATAATGTCCATAATGTGGATCTCGCCCTGCTCCCATTCTAACCTTTTTCCAGCTCTAGTCTGGGACACTCAGTCAATATGATAGTCTTCAGTGTCTTGGACACTCAGTCAATATGATAGTCTTCAGTGTCTTGGACACTCAGTCAATATGATAGTCTTCAGTGTCTGGGACACTCAGTCAATATGATAGACTTCAGTGTCTTAGACACTCGGTCAATATGAGATTCCTTGGTGTCTTTAGACACTCGGTCAATATGAGATTTCTTGGTGTCTTGGACACTCAGACAATATGAGATTCCTTGGTGTCTTGGACACTCAGTCAATATGATAGTCTTCAGTGTCTTGGACACTCAGTCAATATGGTAATCTGCAGTGTCTGGGACACTCAGTCAATACGATCGCCCACGGTGTTTGGCAACATTTACAAGTGCATGGCGGTATTTTTGTGGGTTAAGTCTGAGAGATAACTACTGGCTGGAACATGCTCTTTTCTCATCTCTCCCACCAGACCCTGGTGCGGGAAACTTGTTTCCATCACGAGTCGCTTAAACTGGTTCGTATCATTGTTCTGAAAAGCTTTGGTGCGCACTTTGGTATAACTAGGGTATAACTAGGGTATAACTATGGTATAACTAGGGTATAACTAGGGTATAACTAGGGTATAACTAGGGTATAACTATGGTATAACTAGGGTATAACTATGGTATAACTAGGGTATAACTAGGGTATAACTAGGGTATAACTATGGTATAACTAGGGTATAACTAGGGTATAACTAGGGTATAACTAGGGTATAACTAGGGTATAACTATGGTATAACTAGGGTATAACTAGGGTATAACTATGGTATAACTAGGGTATAACTATGGTATAACTAGGGTATAACTAGGGTATAACTATGGTATAACTAGGGTATAACTATGGTATAACTAGGGTATAACTAGGGTATAACTATGGTATAACTAGGGTATAACTAGGGTATAACTAGGGTATAACTAGGGTTAGTGCCAGCTAGGAGGCCAAGCTTTTTGTCGCGCTCCCCCCCCCCCCACACACACTTTTTTTAATAAAAAATTCTAATAAAAAACATTTGCATGAACTGTAAATTTTATAATTCCTAATATTCATAGTGAACTGTCGAATCAAACACCAGTGGACAATACCCTGACTGGCATGTCTATGACCCAAAAACAGTGGCCAGTGGTGTCACTAAGTGGTGCGGAACCCTCTCAGGGGGCTCCGACACCCTCTCAGTGGGGAGCGGACTCTCTTTAAGGGGGCGACACCAAATGAAAATACGGACAATATTGCTCAGTTCACTCGAGTTGGGTTCATAACATGTCTACTAAATTAAATACGAGAGCAGGGCACCAACACATCATCTGGTGCGTTTCCCCCATTGGATCAGTGGCGTAGTGAACATTTATGGCGCCCGAAGTGGGTCAAGCTTGAGAGGCCTTCACCTCCAATAAAACATAGCCAATAAACTCGCACGTCTATTCGGTCTGCATATCCTTGTCTCAAAATAACTGCAAAAAGTTGAAGGGATGTTTCAGATTTCTGTTTCGTTCATTAGAATAATTGTCAGCATTGCATGTTATTGTTCAATCAAGTGGCATTTACAGAATGGGCCAAAACTAACAGTGCAGAAGCTCCGCATCTTGAACACGAGTGCATGCGATGGTCAACGGTGCATAGCTCCAGCCTTCACGTGATCCATGCTTTAAAAGTGGAGATATGGTTGTTGGAAATCAGTCTCTCCTCGGAAGAACAAGCAGGAGCCTATTCATAGCCTCGGTCATAAGAAAGTGGTGTTTTTTTGTTGTTGTTGTTGTTGTTTTGATTTGGGAGGGGGGGGGGCAGGGTCAAGTTCAAAAATGGGGTAGACAATAGGCGAGAGATTTAATAAGGCGGCACCAAGTAAAACAGTGATGTTAAATAGTGTTACGAAACTTCCCCCGCTGTGTCAGAGGTACTCTTGTCAATCTAAGGGGATGTCTTATCAACACATATAAGTTTATGGGACTATCTTCTGAGAACGACCAAGTCCTATTTAAAAAAAAAAATCACTTAAAAACCAAAATACCATGGCCAAAATTGTTCCACCAAACATCATCCTGACTGGATTATCTATAGTACCGCCAAGCGTTGACCAACCTGTATCCTGTATCCTGTATGTAAATGCAACTGTTATTTCATTAAACATTGGTGGAGGTCCGCACGGGGGGAGGGGGGGGGAATTTCCTCCTGTCTTGCTTCCTCTTACTCCACCACCATAATTATGAACTCCCTCCTCCTCCCCCGATAATTTTAGAATCCCATATTCATATTATTTTTTTTCTGCGGATTTATTTTTATTAGCTATGCTGAAATAGTTTCTCGCAGGCCCCCACCAAGGGTGGGGTAGGGGGGGGACAACCATGGTACTTGTCAGGGGCCCGAGCTAAATAGGGGCCTGCCCTTTTCCGAGTATTAAAATATACCCACATGTTTGAAACCCAAAAGGGTCCCGAATTCTGTCAGCTGCCTGCTGGGGCCCAGAATTTCTTAGTTGCGGGCCTGATGGGTGTACCGGAGCATTGCTATTGTTCAGTTTTAATGGTCTTCGTATTAGACGTTGTAGGTGGGGAGGGGGGGGAGAAAAATCATACATCACCTTCTTTAGAGCACGTGCGTGATTCTCATTTATCGAAACACGTGATCAGACTTCCTCTCCAGTACACTTTCAGGACGGTGACATTTTGTAACAATATACAGCATGACTTTGTGACTGCTACAGCATGACTTTGTGACTTCTGCAGCATGACTTTGTGACTGCTACAGCATGACTTTGTGACTTCTGCAGCATGACTTTGTGACTTCGACAGCATGACTTTGTGACTTCGACAGCATGACTTTGTGACTTCGACTGACAGTTTTGGCGAATACTGTGCGTCTGAGGCTGTTCGTGATGGGAGTCCTGTCTACCAATGGCGGGTGCGAAGAAGAGTTCATGGTGGCTATTCCCAAACGGACCGATGTACATGACGAGTTATCCGAAACTGAACTTTTAATTTAAGTACCAAGCCAGCGAAGCCACGCACGCGCAAGCTGCAGATATTAATCTTGACAACGCCATAGATTTTTTTTTTTTTGCATTTTTCTTCATTTCATTTTAAGACCTAATTTAGAACAATTCTATACTACTAGCGAGAACCCGGCATGCGTTGCTATGGCACTCAAAGAAAACAAAAGTGTTTGTGTTTTAATTACGGTTTTTTAAGTAGTTTTTAAATAGAAAGTTTTTTTTTTTTTTACCATCTGATGCGTAGACAAATAAATAAGAAGGTTTTTCGAAGCGTGAGCAGGCCACATACCACTGTTAGACAACACAATTGTATCGATTGATTCATCCATTCAGTAGCTCTGTTTGAAATTATATTTATTTTGGTCACATAAATAAAAAAATAAGGCCCCCGGCCAATGTTCCCTCTAAGGTGTGTTGGTTCGTGTGCAAAATCATACAGTTGTGTGATACAATTTTTTTGTGTGCAAAATTTTACAGCCCACAAACAAAAATACACACTGACATGGAAATTTGCTGCGCGGTACTCAAAACTGCTACGCGGCGTCTGTGAGATAGCTGTGCGGCCGCGCAGCTTAAATGGAACATTGCCCCCGGCCCCAAACGCAAAATTGTAAAATGGTTGTACTAATTTAGAAACCTACTAATTATCTCACACAAAATGAAATGTCGCTTGTATTTGATTTAATTCCATTAACCCAATAACCCTGTTTGAAATTATATTTCTATAGTTCATATTTAAAAAAAAAAGATAATTTAAAGCTCCCGGAATATTTCAAAATGGTAAACATAATTTAGAAACCTTTGCGGGTGGGCGCTCAACAAATTAACAAAGTTTTATCGCAATCGGATAAATGCTAAAAGGAACGCATTCGGAGATTAAACTTAGCACATAAAAGAAAAAAAAAGTAGAATTTAGGGGCCGGAATGATGTAACATGAGTGTAACAATTTAGTAAAAAATTTAGGCGAGTGTACATCAACTCACAAAAGTTTTCTCGCAATCGGTTGAAAGGTATAGGAGCGCATACGGGACAGACAGGCCTACATTAATTTTTATATAGGTATAGACAAAGTTTACCGAATAAAAGATATCTTTGCGCAACTATTCTTGAAAGCGTAAAATTGTGCCAACCCTACTTCTTACCCCAGATATATATGTACCTATAGATTTGGTTTTTTTTGACTTTGTACCGCGCTTCGAGCCTTTGGGGATGAAGCGTGTTTTTGAAATTATGAACTTTATTATTATTATTATTACCTAAGAAGTTTAATTATTTGTCAAATTCATTCTGAGGCGCATCGTGTGCTGCCTTGGGCAAATGAAACTATCGTATTACTTCTACCACCCCCCCCCCCCCCAACCACAGAGTTTTAAAGAAAATAAAAAAATCAACCACGACATTTTAACCACCTTCCTTAAGCAAAAAACCTTTTTTTTTGAAATTATTAACTTTTTTATTATTATTATTACCTAAGAAGTTTAATTATTTGTCAAATTCATTCTGAGGCGCATCGTGTGCTGCCTTGGGCAAATGAAACTATCGTATTACTTCTACCACCCCCCCCCCCACCCCAACCACAGAGTTTTAAAGAAATTAATAAAATCATCCACGACATTTTAACCACCTTCCTTAAGCAAAAAACCTTTTTGCCATTTTGACATGCTTTGTTCTTATTCGGATGAGTTATAAGTGCATTATTGCTATTTGGTTATGTAGTTTCGCAGCACTGATTGCATTAAACGGCATATTCG